AAAGCAGAAGGCAAGAGATACTCTGGAAAAAGTCTGACTGAATAACAAGTTTGAAAGCTGACCCTGAAAAACTTTGTCAGAAACTGTTAGGCTTGAATTTGATGTCTTACAATTAGAAGTGTGAGCATATTCTAAGGATATTTGTCTTATTCATTATATGATAACACCCCACGTATAGAATGCCATATATGCAGAAACAGCTCGATGCAAAATGCACGTCGGTGCTTATGCAAGGGAGGCTCTTAAGGTGTTTTATGTCTTCAGAAGTAAAATTCAGTTCAATGTTCCAATGTGGAACTGTAAGAAATATAGCCATCAATGATTTTACACAGGTATTTCCAAAAGCTTTTCTGGAGACAAGGACTTTTTGTACTCAGCCAAATTACTGCCAACCTGGAGATTACACAGATGATTGTTTAATACTCTGTGCCACCAGATGAGAATCCTGTTTCAAGTCCTAATGAATAAATACCCTCTCTGAAACTTCTCATAGCTTTCTGCCTTTAAATCAAATTACTAACAGACAGCCCTAGACACCTGCAAAATCTACAGCCACAAGGGAGAACACACTAAGTCCAAAATTAACTTTCAGAATATTAACATACTTTTTTTACAGAAACACTTCCCAGAACAAGCAGCTCCAGGGCATGTTCAGTTTGGATTCCACTGCAGAACTAAGGACATCTTATGATCTTTTGCATCCTTAGAGAGAGGGATATAGAAAATTTGAGGTTGGAAGCATGGGAGTCTTTATACATTGTCTGCATTTCTAACAAAGTTCAAAGTGGAACATGCTTGATTCTAATAACACTTTGTGTCATTTCTCCTATAAGAGAAATAAAGTCTTAATCTTAGTTTCACTGGAAGCAATACATTTTGCTAGTGACCAGCTGATGCACTTTTATGTTCCAACACAGCAAGCACGTGTATAAAGTTTAATTGGCTTCAGTGAGTTATTCATATTCTTAATCGACAGAATCACAGAGGGGTTGAAGTAGGAAAGGACCTCTGGAGGTCATCTGCTCAAGCAAGGCCACCCAGAGCCAGTTGCCCAAGACCACATCCAGACAACTTTTGTGTGTCTCCAAGGATGGAGACTCCACAGCCTCCCTGGGCAACCTATGCCAGTGCTTGGTCACACACTGAAAAAATGTTTCATGGTGTTCAGAGGGAACCTCCTGTGTTTCAATTTGTGCCCGTTGCCTCTGGTCCTGCCACTGGGCACCACTGGCTCCATCTTCTTCGTTGCCTCTCATCTACATACATTGATGAGATCCCCCTGAGCCTTCTCTTCTCCAGGCTGAACAGCCCCAGCTCTCTCAGCCTTTCCTCACGGAAGAGATGCCCCAGTCCCTTAACCACTGTATTGGGCCTTAGCTGAACTCTCTCTGGTATGTCCTTGTCTCTCTGGTACTGGAGAACTCCATACTTCATGGTGTAGCCTCACCAGCACTGTATAAAGGGGCAGGATCACCTTTCACAGCTGGCAATACTCCTCTAATGCAGCCCACAATACCATTTGCTTTCTTTGCATGTTCAACCTGCTGCCCACCAGGACCCCCACGTCCTTCTCTGCCAAGCTGCTTTCCAGCTTTTCAGACCCCAGCCTGTGCTGCTGCCTGGGGCTGTTCCTCTCCAGGGTCAGGGCTTTATACTTCCCCTCCTTGAACCTCTTTGGGCTCCTATTGGCCCATTTCTCCAGCCTGTTCTTCTGGATGGCAGCGTGACACTCTGGTATTATCAGCCACTCCTTCCTGCTTTGTGTCATCAGCAATTAATTAATTTTTAAAGGCAGAAAAAAGGTTGATGTAATATTGATTTAAAAAAATTAAACCAAACAACCCCTAATTGGAATAATGTTTCATCACAGGAAAAAATTATTAAATGCTTGCTAATTATTTTTTTTAAAGCATTGCTTTATTGAAGTATTAACCCTTCTAATTTTAAGTATGATAAATGAACCATGTAATTTGGTTTTGCCCGTAATTCATGCTAAGAGAGATTCCTGGCACATGCGGGAAGAGGTAACATCAAAAGGAAAACGTGCAGGTAAACAAAATTTAAGAAGGGCCACAAAGATGATCAGAGGGCTGGAGCACCTCTCCTATGCGGACAGGCTGAGAGACTTGAGAAGACTCCAAGGAGATCTTATAACAGCCTTCCAATATCTGAAGGGGGCTACAGGAAAGCTGGAGAGGGAATCATAGAATCATAGGATGGCCTAGGCTGGAAGGGACCTTAGAGATCATTTTAAAACAGCCACCCTGCCGCCAGGGACGCACCTCTCGACTACATCAGGCAACACATGGGGACCAAACGGGAAGGACAAGGGGCAATGGTTTTATACTACAGCAGGGTAGATTTAGACATTACGAAGATGCTCTTCACTATGAGGGTGGTGAGATACCTGAAGAGGTTGCCCAGAAAAGTTGTGGACACCTCATCCCTGGAAGCGTTCCAAGATCAGGCTTCATTAGCCCTGAGCAGCTGGCCCGATGGGAGGTGTCCCTGCCCATGGCAGTGGTTTGGGACTAGATGATCTTTAAGATCCCTTCCAACTCAAACTATTCTACGAACACGTAGTGTTTTGGCGATACTAGCAAGGCAATGAGCTCTTTGTAGAGATGTTCAATGTCCACTCGCATTAGCAGGTTTCAAAACTTTCTTCGGGGAAATCCACCACCTGCATTTCCTCTTCCACAGGCTCCCGAGGCGAGCTGACAGGCCCAACCTAGCCCAGGGCCCGCCCTCAGCGAGGGACTCGCCGGTGCCCCTGACCCGCGGCACAGCCCAGGCCCATGACTGCAGACTGAAAAACAACACTCAGTCCCCTGCCCCAGCTCCTCCACATGCGCACATAACAGGCCCACTCGGCCGAAACACCAGAGCCCAGCACTTTCCCACAGAGCGCCTCACCAGCCGCCGTCGAACGACCCCACCCTGCCCTGCGCATGCGCAGTCCCCTGCGCGTGCTTTCTGCTCAACGCTGATTGGGTGCGTCCCGCCGCTCGGCTGTTGGCGTGTAGTTGCCGTGGCAACCGCAGGCGGTGGAGCTCGCGCCTCCCCTCTGCCCGTCGTCCTGTTGCCGCC